GTTTTCAGCTTATAATTGCTAATCCTTATTTTTATTACCCTTATTATATAATTGCTAACCCGTAATAAACATGATGAAATAAGATAGAAATTTATTTCGTAAATTTAACAAGCCCTGTCGATATTTAACTGAGTGCTCCTTTAATCGATATTAATATCGTTTGTAACTGTTGCCGGCAGCTCCTGACACATTTTACAGTCATGTTACATTAGCCTCGGGCTAAGCACAAATTGATTATGGCGCATTAATTAAAGCTTAACTTCCTAAGGGTAAAGCATGAGAAGTTGTATTAATACAATTAAATCCAAATACAATGTTCAGTTCCATCTTTAAAAATGATTACAGCCTCTACCTAGGTCTCTATCTGATAAGAATAGGCGGTTCTGTTAATTAAATAGCGTCGGAGCCGTGGTGACACTCTGGAAATACAAAGATTTAGACTGGCTGAAACCAAAAAATATTTTATTTATACATATATTTGCATGTTAAAAAATCTTCAAACATTTCGTAAAAGCAACCGTTATAGAAAGAGCCTACATATGTCGAAAAATAAATTGAGGTCAAGGATATGTGGATATTACTCTTTTTATGCACTTGCAAGGCCCCTGGTGGCTACTGATTTTATACTTTCCAAATTTATATGTACCATTTTAAAAGAGAGAGAACAATACCGCAGTTCTTCTCTGAGTAGGTGTAAATTAGTGAACTGGTGGCAGTTTTTGACTTTCAAAAAACCTATATTGAATAAAGAAATTTTTACTTTGACTTTGACTTTAAACGCAGTCCTAGATAACCTAAAAGTACTTGGATCACTTAGGAATATTCAAACTCTAAAGACTCTACTTTGTACGTGGTCATTAAGTATATTGTTTTAATTGGATTTGTTGAGCATCCAGTGGAGCTTAAATCCGTTTTGAATTTCATCATGTGTTTATATTGGTTTTCCAATTAACGGGAATTACTGCTTATTACTGAATAATTATGGTCCTAAAATCAAAATCATGTAAGTTGAGACCCCTCTTTAAGTAGTTTTACTTCTTTAAATTCCTGACTATGAATGATTTTGTGTGCAGTTTTTATACACTGCTGATACTTTTTAAAACGGCATTTTATTTACGCTTTAATTGGGTCGACGTATGTGTCCTGGCACTTGAATTTAATTCAACTTACGTGAACGATCACAGTCAAGCAGTCCGAATCAAATTCCAGTGGAATTGTTAATTTTATTTTAATGGGTGTATAATGTACATATGATAGAGAAAAAAAATCGACAATACGGTATTCAAATCTGCGGCTTCTGGGTAATTCGTTAAGGCACTCTAGGCCACTGAGGCGAACGACAGATGTCATCAAGGCGCGAAATAATTGATGAGAATTCGAGATACGCATTACGGCACACCGTTTGCATCTGGCGCACTTTTAGCAGATTATCTTAAATTAGGAATCACACAACAGGACAATTAGGACACATAACAATAGCGCATTCTTATGTTAAATGTATATGAATCCTCAGTATAAATTGACGATCACATTTTATCTTTAATCAAGAAACAGCGATTAGCGGTGGCCATAAATTCACCATATTTGTATTTCTAAAAAAAACGCGACGTCTGGCTAAAAAACGCAATGGTTGCGTATCTTATGAAAATGAATAAACGCAATAAATCATAACGGTGTTATATTTATATAAGATATATATTTATGAGTCTACTCTATGGAAGTTAGTCGATATTATAAATTTAATGTAAATTATTTACTTAAATATTTGATGTAAATGTAGATCTCTCCGAATTTTTTGTTGTGTATTTCAATTAAAAAGTTATTTATATTATATTTAATCTAGATCGTAAAATAAATATGTTGGAAGGTGGCAAACGACCTGGTGGTTCATCTGATGTTAAGTGACAACCGCCGCCTATTGACATTTGCAACACATATAGGGTTGCAGTTGCGTGACCACCTTTTACTAAAGTGGGCCGAGGCTACCTCATTCATCAGAAGAAACGCAGAAGTATAATACGTCCACTTCACGCCGGTCTTCTGTGAGGTCGTGGTACTTCACTGGACGGATCTGCATTCGTGCAACAGCGAACTGTTGTGAGGCCCTACAGGCCCACAGTTTCTATTGGCCCAGTGTGGTCTCTTGCTGTAATCGCAAGCACTAGAAATTACAAACGCATCATCTTCTTCTTAACCGGTTCCTCATTCCTGAGGATCGTAACTCCTTCTAAGTTTCTTATTAGTGAGCTATCTCACCTCCTGCCACAACAAGAATCTCCAGATGTTCAGGAATCAGGACCATCGTTTAGGACTTCTGCTCATCAGGTGACCCGCTAGCTCGTTTGCCACTTTCTCACATAAAAAAATTATATATATAGCTTTACTTAGGAAAACAAAATTTTTAAACTACTAATAGTTTCAAAAACAAAAGCTGTTATGAGTCAAATTACACAATTATGACACATTTCTAAATTAATATCACGTTCGATATGGTAAAAAAAATTAAAACTTTTTAGATACAATATATGTACCTACGTAAAATAAAAGAAAACTTACAAAAATATATTGTACGCGCAAATTTTTTATGGTAGCATAACGTACTGGCAACACCTGTGCTTCGTAGGCCAAATGTCGCAATGCCCTCTGCTCATCCATTCAAATTTATTCACGAGTTAGGGCATCCCGAGCCAACCTTTTTGCTTGGAATCATTCATGGCACTTCCGTTGCCATATGGACTTATATACTATATCTCTGAGATACGAGTACTACCCCTCATTTATTCATCTCATTCCATAAAAGAAACCCAATTATTTTATTAGCTCATAATTATTTTCTTTCTGCACTATCCGACTCAGTTGATAGTTGTTTAATAAAGCTAATAAAACACCTGTTCGGTGGTCAAGAAAAAGATCTAAAGAAGATTTACGTAAATTAAAACTGTGTTCTCTGTTAAAATTTGTAGAAAAAGTACGAAAAGATTATCGCCGCTTTGGGAATCGAACCCATGTCTTCGGCATTCGCGGCCCGACCCTTTAGCCACTAAGCTAAAAGTTTGATTGCCGACGAAAATCTTAACGTCTTTTATCTACATTGAATTATAAACATATTTAATATAATTATAAATATTTGAAGCAATGCTTGGCGCATCCATTGTTATATCCTTTCCAGCATACAAACGTGCGTTTTTCTACAAATTTTAATGTTTAATCTTAAGTGCAGAGATTAGCACTATAAAAAATTTTAATTTCTTTTTTTTTTCTGGTCATCTGTGGAAATGTTTTCTCTAAAATACTTTAATAATGTCTGCTTATAGTTTAGTAATTCGTAATGAGAGATATTAAAGCCATTTTATTGCATGTTAATGGTAATTTTATAATTGTCATTGTAAACTCTACGTCCGTTATTCTTCTTTGAACTCTTTATATACTTTTATATTTATCTAATAGTGGAAACTTTTAATTGTTCTACTTTATTTATTATACTTTACTTATGTGCTAGCTGTTAGTTTCCGTGAAATTGTAAAATAAAATAAAATAAATAAATTCACAACTGGCCTTATGAGGAAACTCGAAGTTACTCAGCGATATATGGAGCTATGCTCACCATTTCTCTGCATGATAGAGTTTGCAATGAATTTATCGGCAGTATGAAGATAACCGACATAACTCAGAAGATTGGTCCAGCTCTTAGAACCGATGGAAAAAGATTCTCGAAAGGTAGCCACGTATTGCTCATCGCAGTGTCGGAAGATCCATCTTTAGATGGAGTAACGACTTGTACAAATGTGCGAGAAGTCGATGGATGCAAGTGGCTCAGGGGCATGCTTCATGCCAGCGGTATCTTTGGGGTGGCCTATGTCCGCAGTGGAATAAAACAGGTTGAAATGATAATAATGATGATGATGAACGGTAATATATATTTTAAGAGTCCTACGCAATTCAAGCTTAGCTACACAAGATGGTAAACCATGAGGTCTCCATCGGATTATAAAGAAAACACGGGAATATTAATAAAGCCAAATTGCCAACGCATTTAAAGAAAGTATACGGTGTATCCTCACCATGACTGCCAGGAATTAAATATCCACTAAACCATCAAACATAGAGGTCACGCTCGACCGGACCCGCATCAAATTAAGCCTCTGGCAACCCTTGAATCCAATTAAACTCTTAGACGGCACTCGTAACTGTCCGTGTATTAATAATTTATCCCCACATAAATTAACTAACATTTTCTCTCCCTTGACATACCCGAAAACTTGTTAGAAATACAATAAATTTTAAGTAATTTATTCGCATCAACGAATTATATTCTCTGGAGTAGTATCACTTACTGTAGAGTAAATCATATTTGTTATACAGTTTTGTGAATACAGATTTTTGTCAAATAAAATAGCAGAGCAATGGAGCATATCAAATGGGAACGATCTTGAACTCGGAAGGCTGCATGTCCTCCTTAGATTTTTTTTTACATTCATTGAATTAATTTAGCCTTCTGATCTATTAGTGCTCATAAATTTTAAAGCAAATAGAACACTAGTTTGTTTAAGTGTTTATCGGACAGAACGGAGTACAACTCGCGCGGATTGTTGGGAAGCACTAGTTCTTCGTACACGCTGTTAATTATATAGTTTCACATTCATATTGGCAAACATACAGGAAATATACTTATGGAAATTTTATTTCTTGTATAGAATAAGTTATGACGCCCGAATAGATTAATTTATGAGGCCCTAATAGAGTAAGTTATGACAACAAATGTAACGATCTCTAAATTAACCAGCTTTACGCAGTTCATGCTCAATAACAAATACTCATTACTTCTTGCAATCTGATGGGCAAACGCCAACTCGATACCATTAACTAAGCAACCCATGCGTTCTGTAGGACACGATTATGTGTAATTTCACAAGTATTACGAGTTCCACTGAAAAACGTAATAGCACCGTGCCCGCAACCATATGGCCGGACACGGCCGTCGACCATGTCTAAAGACATAAATGGGCGCGTTGTCGTCACAATGGAATGTTATTACGGCGCCGGGGCAGCCTTGCAACGGGGCGGAGGGGGGGCTAAGGGGCACACTCCCGCGCAACCTGCCGTCGGGCTTCGCGCTCAGTCCCTCGCCCGCGCATGCTAGCGACCAAACGCCGGCACTACGCGCACAGCCGCGCCGGATCCATAAACATCGTGAACAGTCCGTGAAGAGACAACGAAGTGAATAAACAAACATTTGTGATCGCCGTATTAACTTGCGCGGATAAGGTAAACAGTGGTGTTGCGAATTTGCACCGATTCTTCTTGACACCGCACCGCAAGGGCATTCGCAAGCCGAAGTTTGCGGCAGAGTCGTAGTGCTTATCGATGAAATGACCAATCATTTCTTCGACGACGACCTAATATGGGTTATTGGATGGCTGCATGACATTATGTTTGACTTGTCAACATCGCAACATGCGCATATAGCGTATGACTGATAAACTTGTTCAAAGATTTGTAATAGATTAGTATATATAGAGTCTCAATAATCATATTATACAGGGATAGAGTTTTAGGGAAAACGAAAATCATGAGGTGATCGTTAATGACATCATCCCATATTACGAACGCACACCGCCTACAAAACACGTGTTGGAAGGTTGCACTAACAATGAGAAAACGTGAAGGTTTTTCAAGCAAATGGTATTTATTAATGTGTAGAACCGCAATAAACTCCATAAGTAAAAAAAGTTGCTTGTAGAAACGTTTTCTTTAAAAACAACATGGGTGTTGCATCCTTACTCCAGAAAAGAAAAAATGAAATAAAAAAGAGTACGATGGAGGTAGCCAAAAACAAAAAAAGTACTAAGTAAGTAAGCAATTCAAGGATAAAAGGAAAGTAAATGTAAATAATGGCTTTATTGCGTACTGACCAATGTTTTTAAATCCGATTAATGTTGTTACGTTACGTCATAGTTCTATATGTTAGTAGACCATCCGACCGAAATGATATTTTGACTCTAATTTGTATCCACGTGATGTAATGTTGTTTGCCTAAGGCACGTCAACTTGCGTAGTATACTTAGTGTGCATATGTTACGTGAACTTGTAACTTAACCGAAAAACAAGCGAATGTAGGAAGACCGGTTTTCGCCCCTCAGTTTAATAAAGAAATTTGTCAAATAGTATGTAAACAGTCTCTCATTGCGATTGTTTATATTAAAGGGATCAAGGGCTTACTTATTTGAACTCATTCGATTTTTTAAATTTAAAAAAGCGGTTATGTATGCAAGCTACTTATCACAAATTAAGTTATTTTATCAAAATAAAAACCGCGCAGATTGAATAAATCACGTTTGCATAGAAATTGCACAAAACTGCTTCCCGAGTTATATGTGGAGATAACGTTTTTAATAAATAACTCGTGATTGTCGACAATTAAGCAAAGTATACGTACACGTTAAAAAGAAAAACTCTACATGCACGCACTATGTACACAAATCTTTCTACACCGATGATTTCGCACATTATTGAAGGCACCGAAGCACAAACTACGTTAGACAGGGGCTCGTTAAAAATAATATTATACAATAAATTTAACACAGATTCCACATTATTTTCACATGTACGAATTTATTCAGAGCACTGTTTATTATAACTGTTCTTTGGAAATTCCGATTTCAGTTTGCAATTCACTACACTAGCTAGTACAACACATTTAATGATTGCTTAAACTGTAGTATAGACATTGATGCTCCTGGAATTATTGAATACATGAAATCTTAGTGTGTGCAATGAATTAATGTAAAATAAAAAAGTAAGTCTGATTTAACATTAATGTCTGGGGTTAAAGACATGATGAGTAAACTTGCATATCTAAGAAATAATTATCAAAATGTTTTGAAGACATAATATTTATAGTATTATAACAATATTTGTTTCGGTTCGCTGATTATGCTCTGATATCCCTTGTACTGGGGTGTTAACTCTGCCTGTTACCGTTAAATAAATTGGTACAAATGTTAATGGCTATTACGGAACGCAACGAAACGGTACAGCCGTGATAGCTCAGTGTCCGGGCGCTCGACTTTAATTCAATATACTCGAGCAACCTGAGTTAGATCCCCGGTGCCGGCACCAATGAAGTATTTAACTTTAAGTGTGTGTGTTAATGTCTTATCACGTGCTCCGCGGTGAAGGAAAACATCGTGAGGAAACCTGCATATTTTCGAAATAATACCAAAAAAAAGTATTTCGAAGATATGTGAAGTCGGCCAATCCGTAGTGGGGCCGCGTGGTGGACTATGCCCTGATACCCTCTGTATAGAGGAGGCCTTTGCCCACCAGTGGGACATGTATAGGCTGTTACTTTACTTTTTTTTACGGAACGCAATTCAAGCAACGTAGAATGTATATGAATATAAAAATTTTAATCCAAGTTGACCATAATGAAGATTTGAACACTGGCGCAAGTCATCTGTTCTATTAAAACAATCTTAACATATATGAGTAATTACATATTTAATAACAGTCCTTAGCTTGAAAATTCTGTGTTCGTCCTCTTGATGACATTATTTTGATATCATCTTAATTTGACAATTACATTTCACTTCTCTCAAAGGTTTACGATAAATTAGGCTAACTCAACAATTACGCTGGAAAATTCAAAGTTCTTCCGTAGTGAACTTAAATACTTGGATTTTTTTGTTACTAAAGGCGTGCACGTAGACCCGAGCAAGGTAGAGACTTTATTTTTATGTGGGAAAAATCCTTTTAAGATCCCGCCGCCTTGTGTTACACGTACCCACTAAAAACCCACGTTGCACCTGCGCTATCGCTTTGCCGGGGACACGGGAACACGAAAACGCGAACCCCGGCGCGAATGTGGCCTTCTCAGGCCTCCTCTCCCCGGGTGTTAGGGACACCCGGTCCATCCAAATGGTGCCGTGTCGGTGCAATTAACACGGCAACCCTCTCAAGCCCTCCGCGGGGCAGCAGTTCCCACATCTGCCGCCCGGGGTCTTGCTATCAGGGCCTCCTGCGCCCTGGTCTCCGCCGGCGGATTTCCAGGGTGGCAGTTGCCTCCCTTTCCCTCTCCGCGGCCTCCTTCCGGGTGATTATGTCCTCGCAGAATGCAAGGACGGCACCCCCCCGAACTCTCGCTGTCCACTATAGCGCGAAACACGGCAGGCAACGAGAGATCGTGCCCCACGATAGCTGTCAGCTCTCGGCGCTGCACCCGCCAGGCTGGTCAGTCCTCCAGTGCGTGTTGGGCCGTCTCTTCGGCACATACGTCGCAGTGGTGGTCGCTGTTGGAGCAAAGTAGAGACTATCCTAACATTTCCTACACCTAATAATAAAAAAGAAGTATAGAGATTCCTTGGTAACTCGTCGTGGTATGGAAGATTTGTTCTCAACTTTAGCTCAATCGCTCGGCCACTTTAAAAATTAACGTCTACTGGTACAATTGTAAACAATAGCAAATTAATAGTCACTACATAAAAGGAAGGCAAACGACTATAGTAAAATGGTGAATCAAAGATAACTAAATTGAAAACGATAGATCTTATGAAAAGTGATATTTCGATGTTTTGTTCTTACTTTAGCCGCGAAGGAAAACTGTATGGAAGACCACTGCTCTAGTTGCAACCACTTTTGGATGCCGACAAGATGTCCTCTTTATTGAATTAACTGTAACTCGTAATTAAGATTGATTTTTACTCTGTGTTAAATCAGATCAAACAAATAGTTCTAAGCCGCATACTGGACACAAATGTGAGATAACGATGTCTGTAACTAAAAAATTTGAAAATGCATTTCAATACAAATCGAACTGGCAATCTAAGATCGTAAGTCGACGTTGGAACATGCAGACTTTAGCTGCCTTTAAATACGTGGCATACTTACGAGCCAAAGTGAATATATATAATAAGTGTGAAACGGAATACGGAAAATTGCAACCCGATCGAGAAGCGCACGAGGAAAACGTTTTATCCATTCGTGCTAAGGACATCGTTACTTTTAAGAGGGTCGCGTTGTTACCCTTATCGTTTCTACGCGTTGCTTTCATAGATGCTTGTTTATTTCAGTCTTAAGTAAATCAAAAGTGGTTTAACTATCAAGTCAACAAATCAAATCCTATTCGCGTAGCTTAAAACTGATTTTTTTTTATTTAGTTTTATTATAAAAATGTTGCGCTCCTGCGGGATAACTTTATCCTGTGTCAAAAAACGTTTTACTAACATAAATTTCACACGCGCAAACAACCAGATGCGAAACAACTATCTGTGTGGGTCACACAAATAGTTGTCAACTATTTGTGTGACCCACACACTTATACGGGACAACTATTAATTGCCCCGTGTAAGTGTGTGGTTTCGATTCCCACTCAGGACAACTAATAGTTACACCTAATAGGTGGACACCGAAGCCAATACCTTGACTACTGTGCCACGGGGTCATCAGTTGATATAAGATAGACGGTGAACCAATTTCCTCGATTCAGCGACGTTCGTTCATGTTGCCGTTCATATAAAATATTGGGGAGTTCGGCGTTCTTTTTCAGCGAAAGCTTAAATACAAAATTTGTTGGTTTTAATTGTTTGATCGTTTTGATCTTGCTTAGAAATTCACCCCAACCTTCCTTTCGATTTACTACATAGTAGCAAAAATACATTCATGAATTAGAGCGCACTTTACGTAACAATTATTTTGAAATGTAGACACATTTTAAAATCTCTGGACTGAAACAATCACATTTATTAAGAAGGTTTAAATAAATAATAATGCATTAAAGAATGTACGTGTTTATCGTAACCACTGTGTAGAATACCAAAAGCGGGTACACTTCCTTCCTGGTGTCTTCCGAGTGTAATATGCAATACATTAGCGTATACTATGCAGCCTCGAGACCCCTACTTAGCCTTAAATATTATCATTAAACTGACAACGCTTGGACGTAGATATCTTAATTAACACCGCCCACTCATAGTTAGACACTATTTAGTTACTCGTTGCTGCATTATTATATAAATGAAAGTAGGTACTTGCTTATATGATTCATTTAATTTTGAAACATTACACATTATGTTTATAGATATGAAGCAAATGTGCATTTTGATTTATTAGACCTAGACCAGTTTACAGTAAAGAGTTATTAAAGTAAAGAGAATATTGTTATAGTAGAAATATAATTTAACATCGTTCAAATGTTGAAATCTTTTTATTTAATTTTATTTAATCACATTGAGAAAAGTTTCAAGACAAATCACACTTGGTATTAACGCCACTTCAGTTTGATTGCTCTCGACATACCCCATCGTAACGGTGCCCAACGCCGCATTCCCATGGGACACGAAAACTCCGCCCGGTTTGAAGGCCTTCGGCAAAACATCGTATTGTACTAGCTGTCAATGTTCAATTGAATAAGAAACGATCCAGTGAAAAAGGGTTTTTGCAAGGAGGGATAGAAAAAAATAACTCGCCGACTAGAGAGGATAAACTATTCGAGTTTGCCTATATGTATTACACGTATGTGCACTAAATTATAGAGTAACGCGACAAGTTTAAAGATGATCTATCTATCTATCATCTGTAGATTTTTCAAGCAACTGTAGATTTTCAATTGTATCACTATTGAGGCAGATAAATTCAATGTCTTCACGCGTTCTTTGCCGTTCGTTTATTAAAATGTCTTATAATGGCGCAAACAATAGAATGATCACTCCGGCTTCGTTCTCCTGACCCTCCGGGGCTTGAAACTTTATCAAAATCAGTCTGTTTTAGTGTCCGTTTAAAAGTCCCTTGGGAATAAATATAAATTTTTATATGTGCGTAGACACAATATTACTCGAGCAACCAGAGTTAATTCCCGGTTCCAGCACTAATGAAATTGTTTATTACAATTTTAAGTGCTGACTTATCACATACTCAGAGTTGAAGGAAAACATCCTGCATATTTTAAAAATAATAAAAAAAAAATTTCGACGACATGTGAAATCTGCCAATCCGCAATGGGGTCGCGTGGTGGACTATGCCTTGTTAGCCTCTGTATAAAGGACATACAGACGAGGCCTTTACCCTGCAGTGGGACACATTCAGCGTGTTATTTTATAGATAGGTATACTTATTTCATTATAAAATGAAGAGGATGTGAAACGAAGATCGAGAAGGCTTGCTATTTTGTACTTTATTAATATCTATATCTTATAAATGCGATTGATATTTTCATAAAAATAAAAACCTATATATTTTAAAATAACTAACTAAATGATTCTTGAACAAAACAAAGAAGTTAATATTGTCCATTACCCCGAGCATAAAGTAGATATCATAGATGGTAGAGCATAGAGTAGTATCATGAAAAATAATTGAAATGAATTTAGTGAAATAAAAAATTATGCGGCTTTTAATAGAAAATACATATAAAGAAAATATAGGAAACATACTGTACATAGTTTTTTACATTTTAAAGCCTTGTTGTTAAGGTTGCAATTTCTACAAACAAGGTTATTAGAATTATTGTTTATACAGAAACTTACAACAAATCTCAAACTAATTGCCTAAGTGAAAGCAACATAGATCAAGTGTACATTATTCGGCTAAATAAAATGTTTCGTACGATGTAGAGCTTCCCATTCGCGTGTAATCTGAGACTACATATGTGTACAATATTCAAATAAGGTCCTCACAAAGGGGAACCGCAACAAAGTACAAGCGAGCGTGACGCGGATTCCGACCAAATGAATCATTCTGTTTACCGTGTCACAGCAGATCATAGAACGAATAATCAAGATCCAACGTAAATTCTTGCATGTTAATGCGGCCGTTACAGTGGCATCATTTCGCGACACATCGTCGTTGGAGGTTGTACCTTAACAATGACACAAGTCATGATCATGACCGACTAAAATAGAAGTGACGCCTTGTCGCCTCAGCGCGGTCTGCCCACAATACGTCCTCTATAATAGAATATCAAACATTATTATTTATTGACGGACCAATTTAAATCTTGTACAACCCACGCGGATGTATTGAGATGAATATCAAGCCAGATGTCACGTTACACTTTTTTTTAAATTTTTTAAGTTGTTATATCAATGTTATATCATAATTGTTAAATCAGCCAATTTATTAAAACCAGTACTTTTTGCAATGCAACACAAAATTGATAACAAGCTGCGATGCTTTCAGTCTGTAAATGCAATACCCATTTTCTTTCCTGTTTTTTATTTCCAATTTGACGTAAATCAATTGGTTTCGATTAATCACTTACGTTGCAGGCTGCCACTTATTCCTACGTAAGTTGTGATCTGCTCTACTGTTATTTAATCTACTGTTGTTTTCAATGCACCGTTATCGACTTTCGGCCCTGGTTGGGCCGCTGGGCTTATTGTCGGGATCACAATTTCCAAAATGGATGCGACCAAATCAAAACCGTGCATTCACTTGAAATGTACACGTCGTTTATATTGCGTACCTATCGTACTGTATTGGCGACATAGTGGAACTCGTAATCGAAAATAGCGTGTAGTTTCGGTTTCCTAATTTTTTTCACGGTTACAGTGACATGAAATAATAACGTAAAATTTGCGGAAGAACAGAAATGTATTATGATTTTTAAATGAAATACTATAGCCATGTTACTAAATAAATTACAAGTTTAGAACTTCATACAACGAAGTAAAACTTAATAGAAAAATATCTTCTAACCAGAAAGTATTTAAAAATCGGCAATTTTTGTTTGTGCAAAATAATTTACAGGAGTTTTTTTTAATACCTATCCTTTATCTCAAACGACAGCACAAGAAACAAAACTACTAAATTCCTAGATTTTGTGATGAAAAGAATTTACATTTTAAATGTCTTTAATAATAGTTAACGTCTAAAAGGGGCTAGAAAATAAATATCTGCCCATAGTAAACATTAACTTTAGTACGTATACTAGAGATCCGCCCCGGCTTCGCACGGGTGCAATGTATTTATTGTTATTGTTTTAAAGATCTATGCATACATAGGGACAGACAGACAGCGGGACGACTTTGTTTTATACTATGTAGTGATTAATATTATTAAAAATAAATGGTACAAAAACCAAAAGAGAACACCCGACCGAGATGGTGGCAAGCAAACAGGCGGTTCACCAGATATTAATGTCATAAAACAAGCACATCTAAATCTCTATTGCGGTTGCAGATGCGTTGTCTTTAAAAATATGTGTCCGTTTACCAAACACATTCTCTGTAGTACTACACGCCGGTGTAATTCGAGGCTGTGGCACTTCTATAAAGATTCCTGGCAATTGGTGCCACAGTAAAAGCTGCTAAAGGCCTATACTAAACTGTAAAGTACTTCAGACAATAAATAGCCTTTATTTTAATTTCTAAATAAATTTAATGTTACATAATACTGCAACTTTGTACGCTTCCTAGCTTCGTTCTATAAACCTTAATAGTGTTTGTAATTTATCAGGTACACTTACTAATGCGTTTTTAAAATAGTTCTAACGATGCAGTAAAATAGTTGCATACGAACAAATTAGTACAATCTCTACTTCGCATCCAGCTGGTGGTTATTTCAAAACGCATACGGAGGGTTACAAAAATACCGACATACCTTATATATCGTAAACTGAGACAATACGTCATCAATCTGCTAAAAACTCTGCTAAAGTTACAAGACGCCGTTGACATTGAAGTGCATCACGATTTATGAAATATATATATAAAGGTCGCAAAAGCCAAGGAAAAAAACTGTGGATTTTTTTTTTATTTCAACATTGCCAGTGGCATTTTTTCATGATAAAGTATTTGTAAGTGGAATTTAATCATAGCTGTGGTTATTTGTTTTGTAGTTTTTTATGATACGGTAAAATAGCGGTGGATTAATTCAGTGTGGTTCATTGTCACATAAAAAATATTTCTTTATTTTTAACCGTAACTATTTATTAAGCTACCAAAATATTCGGGGCGGGTCGCTAGTTTTTATCTGAAACTGTTTTGCGGATTTTATCGTTTAACTATGATTTTAATCCCGAAAATTACAGAGTCAGTGGTCAAGGAAAAGTCTGCCCTTCAAAATTTATATTACTGAAAAAATTAGAATAGTCTTTGCTAAGTTCGGCATCCTTTTCAGATGACGGTGAATTTCGGCGTGTTGGAGTTTGAAATCGACGCGTGCTGCTTAAAAAATTTCGGCGCGCGTAACTGACAGCGTCCAAGATGGAGGGAACGCGCGTGACGCACCAGGGCTTGCGAGCGCATTCGGCGGAGGGTTCCGCGGGCCGCATCACCCAAGCGGGCCTCGCCGCGCGGAGCCCTGAAGGCACCGCTGCCAAGGGAATGGCCATTAAGGGCCACGAAGACCTGTGGGTGGAAATCCAGGCCAACACCTTTCGTAACTGGGTCAATGAGACACTTAAGCCCATGAATATAAAGGTATATATAATTTTTATACAATCAACAATATCAAGCAATGTACTATAAATTACTTACGTCTTAATATGTAGGATGATATATTTATATTTTGTAGTATGACCCGAAGTTGCATATTTTATTTATTTTTATTGTGAATGAGTTTGATTATTTTATAGCAGTTTAGGTCATTTTAAAGCAATTTCTAGGGGTCCTTTTTAGGGTTACGTTTCCAAAGTGTAAATGGTACCCTATTTCTAAGACTACGTTTGTCTGTGTGTCTGTCCGTCTGTCACCATGCGTTATCTCACGAACCGTGATATTTAGACAGTTGAAATTTCACAGATGATGTATTTCTGTTGCAAACAAATACTAAAAAACGGAATTAAAAAATATTGAAGTGAGGCTCCCATCCACAGATATGACTTTTTCCCGTTTTTATAGATAATGGTGCGAAACCTTTCGTGCGCGATTACGACTCGCACTTGGCCGGTTATTATTATTTTCCTTTTTGCATAATAACATTAATTGTTAGGAATTTTTTACAAACAAAAATTTCACCTGGTCAGTTATACTGCAACATATAGGTACATACATAGATAACACAACTTGCCCCGTGTAGGAATCGAGTCCACGATCGGCTATTTTCATAGCAAATTCGATATGCAAATTTCGATAGTATTTAAAGTTATGTATGTTATCATCCAAAAACTATTTGGGTGCAGGTTTTGGACTTAGTGGAAGATCTGCGCGACGGCACAGTGCTGTGCGCCCTGGTCGAAGCTTTGCAGGGTCGGCGTCTCAAAGGGTGGAGCAGCAATCCAAGCAACCAGCACCACCGGCTGGAGAATGTGACCACTGCGTTACAAGCAATAGAGGATGATGGCGTCAAGCTAGTCAATATAGGTAAGACAGTTTTTCGCTCTATCGGCAATGATAGCTTACTTCGCTTGTTAGATATTTCATAAAAAAAAACTGTAAACTTAGATACGTTACACTTCGCCATGGGAAATTTTTAACAATGCTTTATGCAAAGCGAGTGCGCCGTCTAATTACTCATAAAGGTTATCAAGTACAGTTACACGCGCTTGTTTCTAAATAACTCGTGCAAGATTTTACAAATTTTATTACCGCCAACATGAGCCAGTTTTATGTTCAAACACAATTTAACGGATAGGTATTTATTTAATTTGCCTCACTATTATTAGCGAACAATATCTTGTATAGGAGACGACTTTCTGTTCTGTGCGGTTGAACGTTTTAGTCAAATCGATTGTGCAACAGTTGCAAAGTGGTTGCAGCATCAGATAGAAATCGGGGGTCATGGGTTCAAGTCTCTGTGGCGTGTGCAAATAAATTTTAGGCTATTCGGATTTCATGTCACGGCATCTTTTTTTTTTAAAACTTGGCAAGCAAAAAACCGTTTGAACTGAAGATCTCTTCAGACAATCAACAGCCTCACTAGTATAGTATACTCAAAGAGCTAATACGATTAAGCAGCCTACATTCCCCCAGTACAAATGATCAATAATAACGATTTGTATAATCTTACCATAGTTAACTTTGTTTTATTACAATAATTATCATATCGAGAACATTGAATTTATTTATGGTCTCTTATACGAAAGGTATCTCGAACACAGCACGTGGTTGTTTACTTTAAATATAGCCGTCAAGCCATACACACTCCTCGGGGTGAAACTCTTTAACTCTGTATTTTAATTCCTTTTTGAACATTGCATTAGTTTAAAAGTTCCGCTAAGTTTTGAACTCGTTGCCATAGGAAGACATTAAAATGCGAAACTTTTGATACGGAATTAACTCATTCCCTGTTTCGTTTACCTTTTACGCAAGCCTTTAGAGTACAGTTTTTTTTTAATATTTGATTTTTCATGACTGGGCGCTTTTAGTTCAGTATCGAGTACAATTAATTAAAAGCGAGTAGCGACCTGAGTTCAATTCCCCGTGCCGATTAAATTTGCTTATTAGAATTTTAAGTGCTGACTTATCATGTGCTCAACGGCAAAGGACAACATCGGAGACGGAAACCTGCATATTCTCTAAATGATAACAACGGGAAATATTACGAATATAGGTGAAGTCCGCATGCCCAATGCAAAAACAATAGACTGTAAATTTTCTTTACTTTTAATTTATTCTAATCGAACTAAAAACATAATTGCATGGATTGACTCACAATAGCGGGAATCAATGAGAAATATTTATGTATTGCGTTTTGTCTGTTGAGTGAGGCACCCGAAGGCTTTATCGTTTAAATGTTAGCATTTTATTTGCAATCCCGTTGATGTTACAAATATTCATGATGATATCAGGACAACCGCTTTATCGTTGGCAAATTAAAAGAACAAATTAATTCATATTAAACTGTTTTGGAAATATTACGAAGCGGAAGCAACCGTGGCAGTCAGTGGGGGAGGCTTTTGTTCACGAGTGGACTCAAACAGGCTGAAATTATGATGATGATGTACAAAACTGTTCGTAATACAGTCCTTAACTTGTTATTATTTAGTGTTCCATTACGCATGACAAATTTGTAATTAATTAATATTGATTTATTTCTAATTTCAGGTAATGTCGACATTGTAAACGGAAATCTGAAGTTAATTCTAGGATTAATATGGTCGCTCATAGTAAGATATCAAATCGGCCGAAGCAAATTTCCACCAAGGTGAGAAACAATTATCGTTACAGCAGATTACATCAAACGGTAAACCACATCAACATGATATTTGCTCCAACACAAACAATCATGTAACATTTTTATAAAATAACACTGACGAAAACGATAACAATGTACTTAACTGTGGTAGGGCCGCGTTATAGTTATCGCTGTTGCACGAATGGGCAGGTCTGCCCGGGTAAGTACCACGACCTAACAGAAGACCGGCAAGAAGTCGAAGTGTTATACTTCTTCATTTCGCCTGGTGAGTGAGTTAAATAAAGCCAACTTTATAATAAGGTGGCAACGCATCTGCAACCCTAGGGGTGTTGAAATGTCATAGGGTGGTGGTTATCACTTAACATCAGGTGAACCGCCAGCTCGTATTCCAGCTTCCCACATAAAAAACAAGCTTATTGGTCAATGAGCGAATAATTGTGAACGGGTTGAAAATTCTATCAATGGCTCTTATTTAATCAGCGTGTTGTAACAGAGGCTTTATATGTAAACGTCGCCTTATACGTCCACGTTGTGAGAACGAGTTTCCAATCAATTAGCGCACCACGCCTGCTTGAGTTCGCCCGCACATATCCGACGATGCAATACATCCTAATATACCTCACGGCTTGCTTTCACAATCATTCGAAACTGTCGATTAATCATCTAATATTGCGTAGAAAAGTTTGCTATTCTAGCGCACATTCCCTGGTAATGTAAAAGCTTTATTCAACTCAAATTTTCACGACTAAAGACATTAATGCCCGTTTTCTGAAACACTGATCATCGTAGAAGTCAACTAATCAGCTGTCAAATGGATTTTCTGTTGTTATTTGAGGTGCCTAAAGCAACATCTGAAAATCAAACAATATCAAAAATGTAACAAATTTCACGATAAGAATACATTCTGTGTAAAAACTGTTATCGTCGGTCAAACTAAGGATTAATCTCTAATTTCAGATCATTTATACAAATGTTTCGGAAATTGCAAAGAGGCAATTCCTTCCAACGGGCGTTGGAGGCTTACGTTTCAAAGGCCATGAAAAAGTATAAAAAAAATGTTAGAGCATAAATGTGGTTTAAAAATTATTAAACGTTTGCTGTATACGCGACTCTTTGTTTTATTAAACATTGGCATATCGTACAGTTGAGTGAACGATACAAATAAATATAATATTTCGATAATTAAATATATAAGGAAAAATGTAATTTAAAATGTTCGTGAATGTTACCTATATAGGTCTACTAACTGAAATATAATAATAGAAGTCAATAAATGATAGCTATTCAATAAACAGTGACAGTATTTCAACTAAATAAATCAAAATATGCATGTCAAAAGCAATTGAAGTGAAAGTAGATGAAAATAAGTGAACAGTGAATTTTATAACAATTGAAATTAACTTAACGTATAATATCTAACATATTCTAAGATTCATATATAATTAAGGCAGAAAAATTAATGCCTTCTGTAACGAATTTGACTTTGACGTGTCAAGATGAGATTTAGGTTCAGTCCATGAAAGAAAAATTGCTAAAATGTTTCCGCGCAGCTATTTCCTTTTCTTGACGGGAAATAATTGAAAGAGTAACGGGTTGTGGCGGTAATATCATCCATCAGTCATAACTAGTCACGCCATATGCCTTTAATGCCTCTCGGTGCTTTATTAGTTTCCGTCTGCAGTGGTGATAACCTGAATGTGTAATATACATATAAATACGCGGTGCGAAATATGATAAAGTTCTAGAGACAGTATTTATGAAAAACACGCAATCCCTTTTTTTACTTGGATATGAAAAAACTAATCATACGTCATGTGTTGATACGGTTATAAACAAACAAATTAGATTAACGATCAAAGAATATTGCAAGGTAATTTAAAGAGCTTAAAAAAGTTAACGCGAAATTACATGGCAAGGTTTTTCAATATAAATTAGAAAGGAATATTTATATAGAAAATAATTACACTGAATTAGGTTTTCCCTTTATTTTATATACGTTAACAGCTAGATGTTTCTTGAGAACAAGGTGATTAATTATATAATCTTTGTACTAGAACAGTTATGAATACGTTTGATATAGATTATAGCCGACGCATTAATGAAACGTTTCATCTTGGAAGGGATTAAGATTTTCCTATGAAAATTTGATTTTAAAATGTTATTTCCATATATATGGATCACTATATAATACATGTTTTATACCATCATACATTTTAGCTCACGTATAGTATTGAGGATAGATTTCAAATTAAACTATCATGTGTTATACTTTACTTTATCTAGGAGCGTATCAGATAACGTCTTCATGGTAGAAATTAACCCCGAATCATAACTCAGTTATATTTTCCATTTTTTTTTAAATAATTGTTACAGAAGTTTAGATAGATTATCCATGCTTATAAAATATTTATTTTTACTAAAGACCTCATCCTGCATAGACAAAATTTACAAACTGATATAACGAAATGTGTGGATACTATACAAACGTGCCTTCAATTCCGTTCTAATCATGAGTGACGTATCTCTCTGGAAACTATCTCGAAAATCAACACGCCAATCACGTGTAGTTGTGGTGCGTGAGATTCGTCTTTACTTGTATAGTAATAGCGGTGAGCTTTCCGCATATTTGATTTGGTACTCAATACAGTTCTACCATCCTCGACGTCTGTTTACAGGAAACTGATGCTATCGTGGCTGCAGGCAGCTTTACCAGAGTGTCGAGTCAGCAACCTGACGACGGATTGGAATAGCGGGGTACTGCTGTCGGCCCTCCTCGACTATTGCAAACCTGGCATATTCCCGCATTGGCGCGAGCTCAGTAAGTACACTCCACCCAAATGAAATTTGTATTTGACATGATTGCCTCGTTTAACACACGTTTGGCTAATAGGCCCGCTGTTAACTAGCGAGGTGTTAATGAATTCGATTTAACAAACTAAATTTAATGATTGTCACAGCGCGAATAATTGTTTTCGCTGTCAATTTAGAGCGGTTTCCGCTTTCGGTATCGATGCATCCGCATTTGCATTTGTCGATAAATCGAATTATTTGTCAACTAAGTTTACATCCGAAATTGAAATATCTCTGCTTTAACGATCATCTGTATTACAAACGAATTTCGTTAATGTTTTTTTAAATTAACGTAGGTAAGTTATAAAAGTAATTGAAACGAAAAGGTAGATTCAATTTAGTACAATTAACATCTCACTTAAACGTTAACTATTTGATGATTGTGGATTTTACGTTCATACTAGATGAATTTACTCCTACCTTATTCAGACACTTGATTACTATGATAACGTTCCACTATTTCAATAGTTTTGTGTTATATATTTTTACATAAAAGATTTTGCTCATGCCATCTTTTTATTAATTTTTTGATCAATTCAAGAAAAAATTATGTATGTATTTATGTACGCACGTAAAAGGTATACTTCTTTAGCGTAAAGAAAGTTTTAATCCCCTGTGCCAGCACCCTTATTGAAAAAAACATTAAATGCAGTAATTAGTAAGTTAAATGCAAAGTTGATATTGGTTGCCATGGTTATTTGGTCGCTTTGCAGCCAACTTCAGCGTGTAGATTTTGCCTGTTGCGCGCGTATCGTAAAAATTTCACTCTCATATATTTTTCCAAATGCATCAAAAGAAATATATCTTCAAAAACCAAAGCCCCGTCCTATGTTTGCAGATCGCCACGAAGCAATAGAGAACTGCCGCCGCGCTATGAAACTGGCCTATCGCGAGTTCGAAGTACCGATGGTGTTGGAACCGGAATACCTGGCGTCACCTTGGCTCGACGAGCTCTCCGGCATGACGTACCTGTCCTATTTTATGAAGCCAAACTCGCCCGGCTTCCGCGCAACCCTGGAATGGGTGAACTCGAAACTGGAGAGAGGTGTCACTAATTTTACAGTAAGTATATCATATATGCATACTGTGACTACGATGGGAGCAGACGAAGTTAACACCCAAAAACACTTAACAAAAAAAGGCTTTTCAGGGATATTTCAAGTAGACTAATGTATTGTAAATAATGATGTTTTAAAAAAGATGACGTGTGTCCATACTTCGCGGCGTTTAAAAATTGTCACGCCTTGCATAATATGACATATGTATATAAGTGAATGTAACGGATGAATAGAACGTATAATACAGAAAGAATTAGCAGCATTTAGTATTGCAATCTATTTACACCAATTGGCGTAATTTGAGTGTCTCAGTTTCGTCTCTCTAGTGTCATATCTACCTCGCATCTATATGTATCATTGATTATAAACATGTTTTTCACTATGAAATATATACTTGTAATATTGTACGTTGTTTATACTATATATAAAATATAAACAAAGGTTATTGACCTCAATGATTGAATGATTAAATGATTTCCTGTTAACTCTACTAACTCGAAAAATTTACGCTTACTACATGTAGTTACTTAGGAATGTTTTAAGTCCGCTTAAGAAACATATTTTCATTCTCGTTGCTAAATGATCACTTAGAAAGTTTCCCACAGAGCATTAGACGATTAAGTGTTATAGCAGAGTTGAGTCAAACATTGTCCATTTCCTACCATAAATCTTTCAAACAATGAAGGGACCAAAATTGTTTAATTATAGTCCAACTGGCGCTAATTTTACTCTGGTAAATTAGAATGGTTCTCTCTCATTAAGGTTTTCCCTTGCATTACCACGTACCTTAATCATGAAATGATGTAAAGAACCTAGTACAACTAGATTATATAAAAACTTATCTTTTGATTATTTTAAACCAAGCAATTACAACAACTAAAGCACAAATTCCCTGCAATCTAATATTCATAACAATTAAACTAACATATTGCGTTCTTCGTCAACATATATGCTTAAAAACAATAAATATGGCTTATTTTATCAGACAGACTGGAACGATGGGAGGGTAGCAAATGAATTGGTTAGAACCATGGGGGGACCAGCACCACCACCCAGCAGGCTGCGTCGTGATCCGGCACGTTGGGAAGAAAACAATCAGCAAGCCATAGACGCCGCCAAGAAAATTGGTACGCAAACATATTTAGTTAATAGTAACTAAAGAAAGATACATCATCTAAAAAGGTCATTCTAACAGAAAACTGGTTAATATGAAGTGTGCAAGCCTTTTTTCTGTAAGTTTACTGGGCTTAGAATTAAGATTATCCATGTCTCAATTCTTATCATCTTTAATCACATTTAACTCTTGCTTAACATAACTAGGCAGGAAATTACAAACTACTAATGGATAGCATATAACAATTGCGATTACTATGAATGCAACACAACGGCTACTTTCAGAGCTGAAATAATTCATATTCAAAATACGTTATAATTAAATTAAATTTACTTTTAATATACGACAAAAGGATTGTATTCATTCAAAAGAATGGCAAGGTAAGTATATACAAAATTAATAGACGAGAAAAACTTAAACGTTGTCATACTGCTATAGTGTTATAAATTTTAAACGTTACAGGAGTTCAGCCAGTACTTTCCGCGCGCGATATGAGCCAAAACGACGTGGAGCATTTAGGTGTAATGGCGTGGGCTTCCCAATTCCGCAATGTGCCACCACGGCCGCCAGTCCACGATATGCTACGAGTCGCTCTCGACTCAACTTCTGGTAGAGTCGGTGAACCAGTAAGTGTTTCGGCCACGCCAGAATACGATAAGAATTATTCTTAAAATTTACAAAAAAAATGACGAAAAGTTTTTCGGCGCTGCGTCACAGAGATGAGTTCACGTTCATATTACTCTATATATCTAATACATATATTTAATTTTAAATTAGAATTATCGTTGTTAAACGATATTTGGAATTTTTTGTATGTTAAAGGATATAACAATACATACTCTAAGCATTGCTTAAAATGCGAAAAAACAATGTGGTTATCAGACGTCGAGGTTTTCGTCGATCTAGCGATCATCGGTTTAGCTTAGTGTTTATGTATGTATGTATATATATATATATATATATATATATATATATATATATATATATATATATATATATATTGTGTGAAAAGTTGCCAAACGAGCAGATGGTTCACCTGATGTTATGTGAATACCGCCGCCCACGGACATCTGTTACACCCGGGTTCCAGATGCGTTGACAGCCTTTTGAAAATTGGGTTCCGACCACCTCACTCACCAGACGAAACGCGAAAGTAATATACTTCCACTATATATGTCCTACTACTGGGCAAAGGCTTCGTCTGTACAGAGGGTATCGGGCATGGTCCTCCACGCGGTCACTTTGCGAATTGGCGGATTTTCTTATTTAAGTTTCTTTAAAAACGATATGGAGCCTCATGTTCATTGATTTGTCCAAAAATACATATAACAAAAGATTCTTTAATATGTCGTGTACATATCATGCATTTATATTTTCAGACTTACATAAGAGTAGAAAGCATTTCCAGCGAACTTTCTATATCTGAGGTGAAAGTTTCCATTATAAATCCATTAGAACAAGAATCAAGACTGAAATTGGACTCGAGAGGGGCCGGAGAATTTGTACCAGAACACGCTGGTATGCACGAGATCGTGCTAACAGTTGACGATATAAGGTAGGATTTTATTCATTTACTAAACATTAATGAAATGATATAAACTACATTTTTCCGATACGTATGGCGTGTACGTAATTCGACCTTTAGGATAGGACTTTTCGGGGACTCAGGGACAGTTCTAACTTCGATAACTGTTCTTACCTCTCCTATCCTTTCTTAACTGTAACTATTTCCAATGCTATCTAACTTACATAACAGATACTTTCATCAGAATTGATATAATTAACATATTATAATATTTTACAATTTAAATTCAGTATGATCATGTACATAATACAGTATATGTTCAAGTAAATGACGAACAAACAAAAATAAGGTATAATATAACTTTAAAAATGTTTAAGTTTTTCAACATATTTATTAACAAAGGTAACAAACATAATGAAAATTGCATCGCAGTCATCAACGTATTTTATTTTACAATGTAAATAGTAATAAATCCAATTAGCGAGCTCCATTAGCCTCAAAGACGCTTTAATATAATTTGAAATGCGAACGGTTTTCAGAGCGTTGGAAAAATAAATTGTGAAAATAGAAAATATTTTTAATAATGGCCATATATCACAAACTTAAATAGTTATATATTAAATCGCCAAATAAGTCTAAAGTTGTGAATTGTTATCTTAATCAATTAAAAAACTTAGTTACAGTAGGTAATAAACGATTGATAATTTGAGTAATTATTTTGGATTTTTGGCCTTATACTTCAGGGTCGATGGCAAATATTTCTTTCGAGTCCTACCAAGATTAGTGACTGTTCCGCCACCCGGAATGGCACCTTGTGCTGCGGGAAGTATCGTCGAGGTGCTTGTCAGTGCTACAGGTGAGTTATCAAATTATATGACCCCGTCATTTTTAGACGGTGCACGATTCTGTCTATGTCTAGTCTGCATGTTCAGTGAACAGCATGTAGAAGAAGCCGTCATTCCAAATCTTGCCAATTACCTTTGCGCTATCAAAGAAGCGTGCACCAATTTTTGGGTGGTTGAGGCCTTTCAAGATATGCTCCACCAATCCAAATATTTGAGACATGGGTGAATTGGCCGGAAGTCGAATAGTTTGATTGGAATAAGATCGTTTGAGTAAACATAATCCTTCAACTGGTTAAGAATGATTTGCTCGAATAGAACATAGTATAGGAATAACATTTGATATACATTATACCATGCTATCGCTCATGAAGGCGCTCCGAGGAGGGAGGATATTGACGTCACAGCGCATTCACCAAGCGGTCGGGCAGTTCCTCTGGAGCCGCGCCATCCGCCACCCTCAGCACCCGGCACCACTGCTTCCAGCGCCACATTTAAGCCGGACGAAGCTGGAACCTGGACCATTGCTATCACCTATAAAGGCAAACACATTCAGGTAATTTTGTACATCAATGTACCAGCACTTTAAATTTACTGAGATTGGCACCACTTTAAATATTTCTATTCGTGACTAGCGATCTGCCCCGACTTCGCACGGGTGCAATGCTGAATGTTTGTTGTCGACATTACATTAGGAACCTCTAAAATTATCAGTGTTTCTCTACTATATTACGCATGAATTATACATATAAACCGGAAGGTTCTAAGAGGAATCTTGAATCACTGTATCTATTAAAGAAAACCGCATAAAAATCCTTTGTGTAGTTTTAAAGTTCAAAGTATATATAGGGACAGACAGACAGCGGGACGATTTTGTTTCATACTGTGTAGAAATGTAAGTGTTTATAAGTAGATTATAAGTCTTTCAAGGGTTCAAGGGCTTCATGTTAATTTTGGCCGCTCATGGATACACGCAATATCCGTAGGGTTCGCCCCAGATACCTCGCACAGAAGACGGAATTCAAAAGTACAAATACTTCTACAGTTCACGAGTCCCTTGACACTGACGGTGGCTGACATTAAACGTTTACTGTAAATACACCCAAAATTGGTTATTCATTTTCTTAACTTTTATTATATTTAAAAAGTAATACCGAAATATTGAGCCGTGATACCTCAGTGTCCGTGCGCTCGTGTGCAGCGGCGAAGGAAAACATCGTGAGGAAACTTGCATATTTTCAAAATAATAGCAAAAAAAAATATTTCATACAATATTTTACAAAAAAAATATAGCGCTATTCCCTTTGTACACAGAGGCCTTTGCCCAGCATTGGACATACATGGGCTATTTACTTTACTTTACAAAAGGATTGAATATTAATTCTCCTAAAAAAAAGTGCTACCAGTAGTAATAAATCATGCGAAGCTGTTGTGACTTACAATTATATCATCTACAGGGTGGCCCTTTTACTTGCGAAGTGTTCGACCCGGCAGGAGTGAGGCTCAGCCCCGGGGCATTGGAAGGGGCCGAGCCGCTGAAGCCACACTCTTTCGAATTGGACACGAGTGGGTGCGGTGTGAAAGGCGACCTGCAATTAGACATTGTTCACGACAAACGGAGCGTGATGTGCGCGTTGGAGAAACTCTCCAAAACAAAATACCGCGCCACGTTCATGCCTAAAGCTCCAGGAAAACACAGAGTAAATACGAAGCCTGTTCAAATTAAACACCATTGTTATATAAAGTTGTCACGGCAAGCGGTTAACCTGATGTAAAGCGATTACCGCCGCCCACGAACGTCTGCAACATCTGAAGATTTACTCACTCACCAGACGAAACGCGAAAGTATAATACTTACTTCGTCCGTTTCTGTGAAGACATGGTACTTCGCTGGATAAGTCTGCCTATTCGTGCAACAATAGAAGCTACTGCGTGGCACTACCACAGTAAAAATAATGAAAATTAGGAAGAAGATAATTACATAGTGTAGGAAAGGCGATAATATCGTGGTTAATTCCCTATAATTCAATATATATTCCTACACCAAAATTCACTTGTTTCGCTGAATGGCTACATCTGACATGGTGTCGCAAAATTTAACAAAAATAAAATCTGATTCGCACAAAATACGTTAAATTCAAACGAAATACGTGATTTAACTTTATGTTGGCATTTTACAGCTTTACATTTATTTTAATGGTTACGATGTTCACGGCTCACCGCACGTATTTAGAGTGGGATCGAGGTCGAAAAAGCCACGTGACAGCGCAAGTCCATCGTACATGAGAATTTCAAGTCCAGGTAAGGGCAAATGTAAATAAAACAGGTAGTTGTAAATCTCAATCAGTTTATATGATAAATATTTTACTCTTCACTGTACATATAGTGGAAATAGCATTGTTCAAATTTCAATGAGTCTCAATGTAGCGCAAATGTAATGTTTATATTCAGATTTTAATCGTACGTATCTATTAACGCTGAATGATATAAAGAGACCTTTTAAATGGATTCTTGTGAATGCCTCAATTTGCTTATACAACGTGTTGACACGAGCTCGTCTGAATTCCGAATAATGTCGCATTCAGTATGTTTTCATTGAAACGTCGTCGTATACAGTGACACGGCTGCGCTCGGAGAGTCCACTCAATCAATTCAACGCGTACGATACAAAGCGTAACGCGGGCTCAATGGACCGCCGGGACGAGGGACGTGACTCCACCGACTACTATAAATCCACCGACGTGAAGGAGAAGAGCTATGACGTCATCGATTCCTTCGAGTCGACCAACAAGAAGGAAGGCTACAGATACGAGGCGGAGAGTCCCAGAAATCGGACCGCCAGCCCTATCACGTCTAAGCATTTGGGTAACGGCTCCCGCCTAGACGTGAACAGGTCCGGCAGCCCCTTTAGAGCGGGAAGCCCTTACAGGGCGAGTAGCCCATACAGAGCGACGAGTCCGATAGGAAGAACAGCAAGTCCTTTAGCGAGGAAAGACAGCCCGTTGAACAGAACCGCCAGCCCAATTAACAGGTACGGATAATAATTCATTACTGATTTTACCGAACCCAATATATCCGTTAGTGCTCATTATCGGCCGTTTTCAACAGCCTATCTATTATGGAGCTGATACGTCATGTAGACTTTATTATTTGAGATAGAATTTTGACGTAAATATTATGGAGCTAATGTCAAATACGTATCACTAGTAACCAAATCTACAGACAGAACAATGAAACCGGCCGTTAATCAATATAGTAAAAAGAATCAGCGGATAAATGATGTTCGTATTTTTGCAAAAACGAATCAGTGTTCCATTTCGTATTTTAAAACCTTAAAAAATTTTGATAAAATGTCAATTTTGAAGGCGTATTTTCTTTATTGAATGCACCGAAACCAAGTTTTGCATAAAAAATATCACGGAGTACTCACTCTATCATAATCGTAATTTTATTATTCTAGAGTAAGCAGTCCTACGGAGAGATATAGTCCTGTCACTACGTCGAAGCGTGTTGTGGAGAAACGCTCGAATTATAAAATGTACACCTCGTTCAGCGGATCTCAGGACAACCTTGACCAAAGCCCTCTCACCTCCTTGGAAACAGAGCGTGTTCGGGGCTTCAACACTCCCGGTATGTATCAAGTATAATTGAGCCTATACTAATTTGTTTCATAGTAACGTATATATTTACTTAAATAGCAGAATGTTATAAACTAATTTGTATTATTACAAGGTTGATATAATTTATTTATTTATTTAAATATTAATACGCCGTATTTTAGATATTATCTCTTATACGACAGGTGCAATTGACAACAACGAGCCGGGAGGAAAATCATATTTAGGGAGGAAAGACTCATGGGATTCAGTAGAGAAAACGAGACAAATGCTTAGTTCTAACAGGTTAGTATAATTTATATAAAACGTGAAAAAGTAATTAAATTGTAGGAATTTAATAAATAAAAATCACTACTACGACTGTACAAGTTTCTGCATAGCTTGATTATTAATATAAAATATCATTACTTCTTTCGAAGTCATAATTAGTAAGCAAGACATTCATACAAGAGAAGAGAACCTTTTGAATAAAAAGGTTTTTGAGTTTTTTTTTTTTTTGCTTCTGGTTATGAACGATCATCGCCGATCTAATTTATTATCGTAGCTGTCGCACTGATAACTTTTATTTGTATTTTAAACCGTTCTGTTCCGAAGTTGGTTCATTTTTCCAGATAGCATTTATCACTGTCGGACAATGTATCACGATTACGCAAAATAAGGTTTTACTTGAATTCTATTTTTATTTTATGATCAAATACTCAGCTAATAGAAGGTCCTTCTGATCGCAAATATTATTCGTTTTTTAATAAGTATTCTGATTTTTTCTATGTGAAAAGATAGCAAACGAACTGGCGGTTCACCTGATGTTTAGTGATGTTTCAAATATATTGTTACTTTTTTAAGTGGGCCCCGGCTACCACACTCACCAGACGGAACGCAGAAGTGTAATACTTCCACTTCACACTGTTCTGCTTTATGGTCGTGGTACTTCCCCAAACGTATCCCATTCGTTCAACAACGAGGATTGTTGCGTGGTGTCATACCACAGTGATTAATTTAACTTACCAATAAAGAAGTCTCCCTTTTAAAAAAACAACCGAATTGGAAACCTCCTCCTTTTTTAAATTGCATGAAAATACGAGTCGCGATGCGGCCTACATTAAAAAAGCTGCGGATGTTTCAAACAACTGATTCGGGAAACATGACATTTGTGTGTGTGTGTGTGTGTGTGGTAGCCGGGGCCAATTTTATTAAAAGGCGGCAACGCATATGCGGGTGTTATCAATTCCCATCGGTGGCGGCGCTTGCCAACTTCTCACATAAAAGAAATGAAGCTGAACTCTCTTAATGCGCAGCCTGTACCCGGCGGGCTCCGCGGAGCGTGTCTACGGCCAGAACACGCTGGAGAGGGAGACGCAGCGGAACACGCAGCTGAACCGATTCAGCGACTTCACGCGCGACACGTTCAACAGGCAGCTCGACCGGTTGGCGGACGACCGCGATTCCGAGACCTACACCAGCCGGGTGAGCTAATTTGCGACACCACTCAGCCTTGCCCGGGGTGAACTAAAACGGCCATTTGCATGCCCATCACGCCTTAACACTCCATTCGATAACGGGCTAGTGTTTGTTGAAATCGAACGCAGTTGCCAAGCCATAGAAAACTTTAAACACAAAAAAATACAAGCTATGTTTACATTTTTTAGATTTTTTTTATGCGAAAAGTTGTCAAACGAGCAGACGGTTCACCTGATGTTAAGTGAATACCGCCGCCCATGGACATCTGCCACACCAGAGGGTTACAGATGCGTTGACAACCTTTTGAAAATTGGGCTTCGGCCACCTCGCTCACCAGACGACACGCGAAAGTATTATACTTCCACTTTACGCTGGTCTTCTGTGAGGTCGTGGTACTTACCCGGACGGGCCTGCCCATCCGTGCAACAGCCGAGACTGCTGCATGGCCCTACCACCGTTAGATTTAATTAGATAGTACATTAACACCAGTATATATACAAGTACATTAAAACCGTAATCCCGCAAAATGTTATCCATATTTCCATCAAGCTGGCTGTGAAATTGTATACAATAGACATATTTAGTGATTGTATCAAATTGAGTTTTGTTTGTTTTTACCAAATTGCGTCGTGCAATCCAGCTTTCTTTATTTGTTTTTTTCTTTATGTTTACATTTTTTCACCACAGATAATATTTAACTGTCAACACTTTTCTTCTATGCTAATATCTTATATACAGTATTGTCTATAACTATTGTTCCGTTCTCATTAACTAAATAATGAAGCGAATGCGTGGAAACATCAAGCAACTCCTACGATTACAGGTCTTTCTAGATGCTTCGTATTTTACTTTTGACTTACGCGAAGTTTCTATAAAGACGCGGTTGCCTCTACAGTTTCGCCCATTAGTTAGTTTTCTGTTTCAGTTGTTAGTTCACATTCCTATTTCTTTTTACTTCCACAACTCTATTTGCGTTAGGTTCAATTACTATCGCCGGAACTTGGAAATATGGAACGACGCATCGCGATTTGTAAAGTTTTATTTAAGTAATAATATGTTATAGTGTATGTGTTTATTAAAACCATTTATTTACCCCTTGTGTAGATTATTGGCATTAGGCTTTCTTTCTTTAATGTATTTAATATTCATCATCATCATCATCCTCCCTCATCATCATCCTCCTGCCTCATCATCATCCCACCCAGGTGGGGTGGACACAAGATGTGAATGAAGTTCTAAGCGGTTTTGGCTATATTAGTTTTGACCGGCCGCATGCCTGACGTCAACCCTCCTTTGGAAACAAATAAACCAGATCCGGAACAACTTTTTTTTTTTTTTTTTTAATGCGACAATTTGTCAAACGATCAGACGTCACCTGATGTTAAGTGAATACCGCCGCCCATGGACATCTGCCACACCAGAGGGTTACAGATGCGTTGACAACCTTTTGAAAATTGGGCTTCGGCCACCTCGCTCACCAGACGACACGCGAAAGTATTATACTTCCACTTTACGCTGGTCTTCTGTGAGGTCGTGGTACTTACCCGGACGGGCCTGCCCATCCGTGCAACAGCCGAGACTGCTGCATGGCCCTACCACCGTTAGATTTAATTAGATAGTACATTAACACCAGTATATATACAAGTACATTAAAACCGTAATCCCGCAAAATGTTATCCATATTTCCATCAAGCTGGCTGTGAAATTGTATACAATAGACATATTTAGTGATTGTATCAAATTGAGTTTTGTTTGTTTTTACCAAATTGCGTCGTGCAATCCAGCTTTCTTTATTTGTTTTTATCTTTATGTTTACATTTTTTCACCACAGATAATATTTAACTGTCAACACTTTTCTTCTATGCTAATATCTTATATACAGTATTATTATTGTCTATAACTATTGTTCCGTTCTCATTAACTAAATAATGAAGTGAATGCGTGGAAACATCAAGCAACTCCTACGATTACAGGTCTTTCTAGATGCTTCGTATTTTACTTTTGACTTACGCGAAGTTTCTATAAAGACGCGGTTGCCTCTACAGTTTCGCCCATTAGTTAGTTTTCTGTTTCAGTTGTTAGTTCACATTCCTATTTCTTTTTACTTCCACAACTCTATTTGCGTTAGGTTCAATTACTATCGCCGGAACTTGGAAATATGGAACGACGCATCGCGATTTGTAAAGTTTTATTTAAGTAATAATATGTTATAGTGTATGTGTTTATTAAAACCATTTATTTACCCCTTGTGTAGATTATTGGCATTAGGCTTTCTTTCTTTAATGTATTTAATATTCATCATCATCATCATCCTCCCTCATCATCATCCTCCTGCCTCATCATCATCCCACCCAGGTGGGGTGGACACAAGATGTGAATGAAGTTCTAAGCGGTTTTGGCTATATTAGTTTTGACCGGCCGCATGCCTGACGTCAACCCTCCTTTAGAAACAAATAAACCAGATCCGGAACAACTTTCTGTGTGTAACACAAATATACATCAATATAATTTACATATATCAAAATATTTAGTTGGATAGTCACTTCCTAGTTATTTTTAAATAAAAAACAAATATTCCGTTTTAAATCTTGCCTCTTAAATGAAATTTAACATTTAATAAGAGTAAGAAAAATTATCGTTTTACATTAAAATGACACCAAAGTGTTCTTAAATATGCTGTCAGACTGTTGTTTCAAATGCGACGGCTGGCAAACTGAGTTTGTGAAATGCGAGATTTCGATATTTTTTTTATTGTCTTGTCCCTGCAGCAGGAGTATAAGCGAGAGGTCCGCGAGAGCTCCTACGTGGTCCGTGACTCCTCGTACAGCAGTGTGGAGGAGAAGGAGCAACAGCAGCAGTCTTTTTTATCCAATAGGCCCCCCCGCGTCCCTACCGGGGGGGCCCTTTCTGAAACGGATGCAGCGCATGCACGTTTCAGGTAAGGATAAACATACTACTATGTATACTAATGTTATAAGTATAACTAAACATGTATACCAGTAATAAGGACAAAATTATGGTTCGCTTCTTTTCGTGTCATCCATAATCTATGAAACTATTGTTCGAATATTCTATTGAATTCGAAAATTGTTTCGCTAACAAGAATCTGTACTATCACTGAATAACGAACGAATTTTTTTTTATAAGACATGTTTTTACTGGGAAACATCATTAAATATTTGTAGATCAAGAGGGAAAAAATCTGAAAGTGTGTATATGACGGTTTCCGTGTAAATCACATTCCATATAAGTGTGTCAGTTGATTAAGTAACAAAAATCTAGTGGTCCTGTAAAAGCTAAACGAATGTAAATTTAATCAAACGTAACATGCTCGCGCATGTCTACAATGGAAATGCGGGCAATCGTTGTTTATTCCTTGCTGATTCCTTGAAGGAGGTCTGCTGTAATCGTCTTATTCGTTTCGTCCCATGAACTGTATTGTATTCTTATCTCTCGTACAATCGTACCACAATGTTCTTCAATTAAATTTTAGTTTGGTGACTCTGTCATTCCGATTATTATTAAATAGTACATAAAATATTAGATATGATAGAAGTCAAGCCAGGTGATAAAAGTATTGCCGTAAAATTGCAAAGAGAAAATCCACTTGTATTTTATAGATTGATACTATAGAATTGAAGCTGCCGGTTGATTGAAACTCTCGCTGAAAATGAAATAACTAGACCGTTAAATAAAATATCGAGTTATTGAACGGAAAGGACGCGGCGTCTCTTCGCTATAAATTTTCCAATCCGTACCTGCTAGAGTAAGAATTAAGTTTGTTCATTCCAAAGACAACGAATAAAATTTAATATATATCATATTTTATTACGTTATTTCTTCCTTCTTTTACCGACCGATCTTTATTTATTTTCAGCTAGTATTATTAAAATTCAATTTGACTTTTAATATTTACTGGCCCATGGAACCTAAGCGAAAAAAGTGGTATATTTTGAAACACATGTAAAATATATATATACGGTAATGAATGTTTTACGCTCCTTACCGACATTGTACCATATTGAACATGCTTTTCTATATAAACCACATTCATCACATTTAAAAACTTGTAAAAACTAGTCTATCTAGCCACTGACCTGAACGGCTTATTTTCACCCCGACAAAAAAAAAAATTTAGACTTTAAAAATTTAATAGCAAAGGTGTTCTCTAGTTTTCAAATATTTCTATTTTAAAATGTTAAATCAAATTATGGTAATTTGCTGTAAACAAAAACACATCTTAACCAACACCGAGCATTCCTTAAAAATTAATAAAAAGCCGGCTAAGTGCGATCCATAAGATCGGCAAGAAAATCATATCTGTTGTATGGGAGTCCCACTTAAATATTCTTTATTCTGTTTTTTAGGATTTGTTGTTATAGAAACAACAGAAATACATTATCTGTTAAAATTCCTGGATTGCCTGGTGATAGACGGACAGACAGACAGACAGACAGCGGAGTCTTAGTCATAGGGCTCCGTTTTACTCTTTGGGTGCGAAACACTAAAAACAAAGTAAACGAAATACGTTGAGATTTTCGTCTGTGTGAAGATTAAGCCGTTTTGCTCAGGGACCAGATTTTCACCCATTTTTCTCCAAATTTTTAACTTTTATCTTAAACGCAGGTTATATCAATATAAAAATAAAAACACATTCAACATAGCCTACCCAGCCTTAAGGTGCCAAAAAGCTTTTGTGCTTTACTGTGATTTGTATTGTTCCTCTGTAATCAGCTACACATAACGAGTAAGGTTCGCAATTACCGAGAAAACAAACAATTATTTCCTCTTGTTACAGACCAGTTCAAAGGGAAAACATTAGAGGTGCCAAAGGAATAATAATTAAACCAACTTACAAAGGAGTTGTTGGTCAACCTGTTGAATTTGTAGGTAAGTTAATGGAACTTTTTTTAAGTGGGACTAAGCAAAGTTCGTAACATTATCAAGCAAGTTAAATTTGTAACCTAAAATTAATATAAATTAGAAAATTATGACTGCTAGTAACGACCTTTGTTTTGTTATCATTTTAAATGTTGACGTGTACGGTTATTAAATTCTGGTATTGACGTAAACTATAAACCTTATGTGTGTAAATCCTTTGCAGTATTAGTGATCACGGAACGTATGTTTTAATCTATATATAAATAACATGATACAGGTCTCAGGTCTCAGGAAAAACTAATGGATAAATTTATTTTGATATTTTACCCTTATTTCTACAATTTATATAGCAGAAACGCAATTTAAGTCCCCAACTAGTTTAAAATAAACAAGATAAAACCAATGAAAATATTATAATTTAACTATATCATAACGGCACAGTACATGAAAGTTAAGAAGCTCAGAAGAAATGTTGTAATATCATGACGCTGTGGCAGGGGCACGCAACAGCTTCTGCTGTTGCACGAATAGGCAGATGCGTCCGGGAAATTGCCACGGCCTTACAGAAGACCAGTTTGAGGTGGATTATTAAACTTTCGCATTTCGGCTGGTTAGTGAGGTAACCGGGGCCTACTTTTTTTTGAAGCATCTGCTAGCCGTTGCTATTGATGTCATTCGTATGCCCGATTGATCACTTTTGCCATAAAAAAATACACAGTGATCGAATATCACAGCATTCACAACAACATTACCTACTCGCTGCAGAATCCAAAATAGAAAACAAATTCTAATAGCAAATAGTAAAATCTTGTGCTCACAATACCATTTCCAACAGTGGACGGCAGCTCAGCAGGTCCTGGCCAGTTGGAGCTGGAAGTGTCGAGCGGCAACGGAACACTAGTGGCCAGTTCTGTGAGGCCGCTCGGTGGCCACCGCTACGTGGCCTCCTTCACGCCGCGCGTTCTGCACCCGCACTCAGTCCGCGTCACCTTCAACGACGAACATGTTCCAGGTGCGTATAATCCAGTGGAAACATAAGCGTTTTCGTTATCCCGGCGACAGAAAGACCTAAGGGAGAAAGAAAGAAAGAGATATATATAGTCCTCAGAACGATAGAGGAAGCATCGTCCAATAAAGACGTACAAGGTACATTGATATCATCATTTATTACCGCACTCCAATAACACTTTGAACTGGAGCATCAGAAGGTTATGTGACTATGAGGAAACGTCCCATTTTTAAAGTCCGTGGACTGTGATGATCAGTCATCAGTTCATCACAGTGAAAATTTTAAGAAACAACGATTTTTATGAACAATACGTGTTCAGGGATTTTTCCTATGCACGCAAGATACATTTTAAATATAAGAAGCAACGCAAATGAAGTTGTGGGTATCAGGTAGTCTTATACAGGGAGATTTTTTGAGAAGTGCCCAAATTTACACAGGAGGTTCAAACTCGGTAGTATAATCGTTTATGGAAATAAAAAACAAGTTTTTTTTTTCCAAAAAAAAATGCCATTCTATTCCCTAAAAAACAGAACATGTTGACAATGCGGTAGTCATTCATAAATACCTAAATTTTAGCGAACTTGTGAGCGTGTTAGTTATGAATGATCGCGCGGAAAATAAATGAGTTGCGTATAAATCACGCACACTAATTTGAGATAAGTTCAAATGAATGTAATTAATTACTTACTAGTGATTTTAAATATTTATCTTTTTTATATAACATTATTTATGTCTAGAATTTAATAAAAAAATGGATACACTTAGAAAAGTATAAATAAAATATGTCTGGCATTGTCCGCGGAAAACTACTGGATGGGTTTAAATTAAGTTGTAAACCGGAACTGTTTAAGTGTTTATCGCCGTACGCAATTTAAACTCAGGGGAATGGTGATTTACGATTCGAAGCCAGAACCTAAAGTAGTCTGACGGCCAAGCCACTAGACCTACACTTTCTTAGTTAATATTAAACATGTTAGTTTAAATCAAATGATAAATTAAACTCGTATTATATCAAGATGTAATGACATGAAAAAATTATAATTTTCTATCCGATAATCTCTTCATACATTTATCGACGTAAAATTAAAAGCAACGATTCCTTATTCTTTTTCTAAACCCACAATTGTTTTTCTTAACTAATAAATAATGTAGCTTACTCAATATTATTTTCTGCATTGCAAATATAGAAATAATTTGTGTAAAAACATATTTTTCCATCGCAACATAAAAATAAAAAGAAAAGTAACAACCTATATACGGCCCACTGCTAGGCAAAGGCTCTTTGTACAGAGGATACTAGAGCATAGACCACCACGTGACCCCACTGCGGATTGGACATATTTTTAATAATTCGTTAATAGAACCCATATTATTCATAAAATAATAAATGGAACATTTAATGAACGTTTCTATATATAGAAACGTAGCTTGATGGTAAAGACATTACAGGAGTGAACGCAAATGAAACATGTTTATTTGTATTCACTGCCCTATTAGTAATGTCACACAAGCCTAAGACCTATCGTCCTACGCGCCAGGGAACTTAAATATCTATCAAATTATTTAATGTTTTGTAATTCATAGGAAAACACAAATTTATTAAAAATTATATATACAGGGTGGCTTTTCTATAGGTGCCCAAATTCACACATGAGGTTCAGACTCGTTAGTATAACCGTTTATTGAAATAAAAAAAAAACTTTTTTTTTTCACAAAATTGCCATTCAATTCCTTAAAAAACAGAACTTGTTGACAATAATATATATAAATATAAATGCGTCTATACTTTTGAAACTAACTTGTGTGCGTGTTAGTTATGAATGATCGCGCGTAAAATAAATGAGTTGCCCATAAATCACGCACTTTCTGAGATAAGTTCAAATGAATGTATTTAATTAATTACGAGTGATTTTAAATATTTATCATTTTTTATATAAAATTATTTATCTTATCCTTTAAACGAGCAATTCTTGTATATATATATAATCGGAATTTCGGAAACGGCTACAGCGATTTTCATGAAATTTAGTATGTGCATACAATCGAGGGCGAAAAATCGATCTAGCTAGGTTTCATTTTTAGAAAATGTCCTTTTATCCCTGTTTTCAGGGAATGAAAAATATAATTCGAATATCACTGTAAATTTCGCCGCAAGAGAAAATGTCATAATAGCTCGGTCGGTAATCGGGCTGCCCCAAAACAGACGGCCGTGGTTCGCGTCACGGTCATTTACACATTTATTTTTTTTTACTTTTGTTTCGATTCCAGATCATTGCTTTCTTTATTTTTAATTTTTTGTCGATTTGTCATTTTGTTATTTTTTCCCCTTTTTTTTAAAGTTCTTTTGTGAAAAACATCAGTTTCATATTTTCTTATTATTACATCGGTAAGATCGAAAAACATTATGCATATTTCATTACGCAGTAATTTGTATCTAAATGTAATTTCCAAAATACACGATTTACCAAAAAAAAAACCAAACCGAGCAAAGCTCGGTCCTCCGGGTACTGTCTATAATTTAATAAAAAAATGGATACACTTAAAAAGCCTCCCTGTTTATCTCAATTTTTTTTAATATGAACAATGAAATTATAATTAAAGAGATTGATGCCATCATAAGAAGTAAAGGTTCTCGAGTGGCGTACACGAAACGGAAGTCGAAGCGTTGGAAGGCCTCTCTCTAGTAGGTGGACCGACGACATCGTAAGAGTCGCGTGCAACCGGTGGATGCAAATGGCAAAGTGTCGTTCGTTGTGACGTTCTAAGGTGGAGGCCTATGTTCAACAGTCAACAGGATGTCTTGAGACTCATGATGATGATGATGATGATGATAATGATGCCATCAGTAATACTTTTTACAGTAGTATTATTCCGGAAATGTCCTTAGTATATACATTTTTAAAATAAAATTACGTAAAAAAAACATTTAAAGCTTATTACAACAAAAGACAAAAAAAATTTCGGGTTACCGTCAGTTAAAAACAAATTTGCTTCGAGTAAACTTACCGCAGCTTTCGCTACAATTAAAATTAGATATCCGAAATTGTGATTTACAAATCAGCTCACATATTGTTTAGAACAAACAAACCGCGAATATATTTCTTGTAGGAAATTACATTAAAAAAAACTAGAAGAACATTCGCTAATTTATTAATATTTATAAATTTAAAAATTTATTTAATATTAGTTACTAACTTATTAAGAATATAGATTGGTTTATTTAATTTTTTATTTAAACAAAAATGTTCATGGCATTCCTTTTTATTTCAATATTGTTCAAATGATCAAGAGAAAACGGTGTAAAGTCGTAAAGGTCATCACTTCTCTTCTATGCTTTTCGTTATGCTTTTCTGCTTAAAGCCAGTACGTTTTCAATTACATTTCAATGCGGACCATCGCTATCTCGCTCCTATGTGATTCGCACAACGCCTTCATTCGTACGATATTCAACTAGGTACAATCATTCGAAAAAGCGAAGGGAACAAACTGGCAACGGTCGCGACAAAAGTAACGAAATGATTCCTCCGCTGCGCTCGTATAAAGCGAATCTATATTGTAACTCGTTTTGATTTGTTTTCCAATCGTCTGTGCACATATCGACAGCTGTATTTGATTTTAAACCATCTCATCCGCTCCTTCAGTAGTTCCTGGAGGGAAAAACAGAGACAAATCTATGTGACGTTCTCTATGTGACGTTCGTTTAGTAACAGTTATACCATTTTTAAATATCTTAAGGTGAATTTTTAACCATATTTCATTATTTTTTCCACAATAAGTCTATTTACACTCACTATTCTTTAGAAATTATTCACGTTGTTGTCGGCTACCTTGACTAATTGTGAAATGACTATGCAGTCATGGATGGTAAACTTTTGGTTATAACTACAACAAAATACTCAAATTTTATACTTAGAATACGTTTTTGCTCTTATTCCAAATTTAATAAGCAGCCATAGGACCAAGAATTCTTATAGTAGCCTGATATTTATCCGGCATCATTTTAATATCGTACTTTCTCTACTATTTCTTACATTTATTTACCCAATATGAAACATGGTGTGCTGTTTATGATCATTATTATACGCTTTCATATGTTATGCGGCAATAAATATAAAGCCATAATTTATTCTAATATATCATAGTCATAATTAAATATAATCATATCTAGAGTTCCTGACGTTTTCTGATTTAATATGTCACATACTAATGTTCTAGACCGCAACAACTTTCAGTTGCGGGATTTTAATAATAAATCAAGGCATCCCATGTCTGTCGTAAAACGCAACTAAACAAGGTTTTCCCTTGGGAATGTACCCCACGTCATTCACTATTGAAGGTCCCCCTCTCATGCATTGGTTCCGTTTTGCCGCAACATGGCGTAGGAACTAAGAACGGTTTGAATCTTTTCTTCAATTCAAAGGCTTTGTGGCAATCACAAATAAAATTATATTTAACACGCCCCACCATTTGAAGCATATTTTGTAAATCTTTTCTTCAACACCTAAAAAATTGTCTTTCTCACTTCTAAACAGTATTAGATAATAGTAAAAGTTTATATGCACTTCCACTACAATGCAGTAAGCTACGAGTATTCATAAATTGTAATAGGAATTGAGAGAGAAAGAGCCTCACTAATGCAATGCAAACACAACCCAGATTTTAAAGGATAAATTTTTAAAAATCATCACCTAAGAAATAAAAATATGGGCACCTACTATAAAAACTTTCTAAGTATCCCAAATGTTTGTAATATTAAGAATGAAATTACAATTAAAGAGAGTGAGGCTCCAATTCATTCATTCAATATTATTTACAGTGACATTATCCAGAAAATATAATTAGTATATCCAATTTTTAAATGATACTACGTAAAATAAAACCATTTTAACCTTACTGCAACACAAGACAAAAACAATTTCGGTTAACCGTCAATTAAAAACACATTTGCGTCGAGTAAACTCACCGCAGCTTTCGCCACAATTAAAATTAGATATCCGAAATTG